TCGCCCCGCAATCATATGTGCTATCGCAGCGCACCTCAATATACGAAATATCGTGCGCGCTACACAGATATAACGGTAATACATAACATCTCTTTTTCCCGTAAACAAAACCATTACATTCCAATACCGTTAATGCAACGAATAGTCCCCGAAACGGTCCGGTGGTTTTCGTTTTCTCGTTGAACGCTTAACATTCGTTTGGTTTTTTTCAGTGTAGACAGTGACCTGATCTGGCGCCCCCCCCCCCGTCCTCGGATTCGGAAGGTATCTCCTGAACTTGCTGTTCAGTATCTTCCGGAGATATATTTAGCGGTCTCTCTCTATCCGATGTGGGCGATTTCTCACATGATTCGTTCGCATTCTTACATTCTAAATTCGCATTTAAGATCGGACTGCCATAGTCCAACGCTTGCATCTGAGTACTATCGGCAATTGTCGCACCTACTGATCGCATCTGGTTAACGTGTCTTTTCTAAGTCTTTCCATCTTGTAATGTAATCATATAGTGTAACTTGCCTAATTTATCAGTTACTGTTCCAAAACGCCATTTAATGTTTTTATTAAGATATTCACGTGCCGCCACTCTCTCTCCTACCTTAAATTGTTTAAAATTAGTTACATCATTATTATCTTTTTTTGCATTCGATTTTTTAGGGAAAATTAAATTTAACCTACTATTTAAATTTCTTCCAAACATTAATTCCGCTGGCGATTTCCCAGATTCCTGATGCGGCAATAACCGATAATGAAATAGAAGCTTATGTAAATTTAATTTAATATTTTTATTTGTAGTTCCTAATTTCCGTAAGCCTTGTTTGAGTGTTTGAACGAAACGCTCCGCTAGTCCATTTGTAGCTGGATTGTATGGCGCTGTGCACTTATGGAAAATGCCGTTTTGTTTTAAAAATAATTGAAACTCTTTAGAGATAAAAGTTCGGCCATTATCCGTTACCAACTCTTGTGGCAATCCGAACGTAGCAAAAATTTCACGGCACTTTTCAATGGTCTTTCCTGAATCAATACTTCCCATAAGATGCACTTCAGGCCATCGGGTACAAGCATCAACCAAAACTAAAAAATGGTGTCCCATAAAAGGTCCCGCAAAATCCATGTGTACGCGTTGGAACGGCTCGGTTGCCGGTTCCCAACGATGCTTAATTTTAACGTTTTTCTGATTATTACTGAAAGTATTGCATGCACTACAGTTTTTAGTTAGACTTTCTATATCTTTGTCTATTCCTGACCACCAGCAAAAATTTCTACTTAGATTTTTCATTTTAACGCAACCAAAGTGTCCTGCATGTAATTCTTTTAAAATTCTATTTGTTAATACTTTTGGAATTACAACTCTTTCCTTTCTAAAGATTATACCTTTTTGTAATGAAAATTCGTTATCTTGGTAGCCCAAAGGCACCAGGCTCTTTCCTTTTTCTAAGGCTTCTACTATTTTTGCTAGTGCTCCATCTTCTCTCGTTTTTTTATAAATTTCATTTGCTGTGACTGGTAACGATTCTAAATTCTCCATTAAAAATACATCAATAGGATCGCATTCTCCTAACCGTTTCTCTTGTATAGGTAGTCGCGAGAAACCATCTGCGTTACAATGTTCGCTAGATTTTCTATATTTAATCGAAAAATTAAATGCTTGCAAAAATATCGCATAATGCTGAATTCGCATTGCGCTATAAGCTGGTAAGCCTTTTTGAGGATTGAAGATTTGCGCTAGAGGCTTATGGTCTGTGAGTAACGTAAAGCGGTTTCCATACAAAAATTGATGGAACTTTTTAATGCCAAAAATAATAGCATACGCCTCCTTATCTATTTGGGCATATTTCTTTTGTGTTTCGGTTAACGAATTTGAAGCACACTGAATAATTCTTTCACTTCCGTCCGGATATGTATGTGATAATACTGCTCCTACACCATACGGACTAGCGTCGGTAGCTAAAACTAAAGGCAACTTAGAATCAAACGGTACTAATATTTTATTACTTTGAAATTCTTCTTTTGCTCGCTCAAACGCGATTTCACAATCTTTAGTCCATTCAAAAGGAACATCCTTTTTAAGTAAATTGTTCAATGGACGCAGTACATCACTTAAATTTTCGATAAACCGACCATAATAATTTATTAATCCTATAAATGCTCTTAATTCTGTGATATTATTTGGTCTCGGCATCTTACGTACTGCTTCCATTTTGTGTTTCTCTTTCGAAATCCCCCTTTTACCGATTTCGTATCCGCAATAAGTAATGCTTTCTTTAAGAAATTCACATTTATCTCTGTTAATTCGCAAATTATATTTCGATAATCTACCGAAAACTAAATCTAAACGTTTCATGTGTTCATCTAAATTTTTTCCTGACACTCGTATATCATCTAAGAATACTGCAACCCCAGGAATTCCATTTAGAATGTTCTCGATTATCCGTTGCCATATAGCCGGTGCCGACGCTATCCCGTACATCAACCGATTACACTTGTATAAACCTTTATGCGTATTTAATGTCAAAATCTCTCTATCTTGTTCCGCTAAAGGTAGTTGTAAATAGGCTTGCTTTAAATCTATTTTTGAAAATATTCTACCTCCAGCCATAGACGCGAAAAGCTCATCAATTGTGGGCAAGGGGTGCTCATCTACAACTAACAACGGATTAACCGTTACACTAAAATCCCCACAAATTCGAATTTGGCCATTCTTTTTCAATACTGGTACTATTGGTGTAGCCCATTTTGAAGACTCTATTTTTTCTAATATTCCCGCTTTTACCATATTTTCTAATTCAACTTCAACTTTTTCTTTTAATTTAAAAGGCACAGTTCGACTTTTAATGAATATCGGTTTCGCGTTCTCTTTTAATTTCAAATGAGCTTCCACCTTGCACATCGCTGAAAATTCCTCGCTTATAATATTTGGATATTTTTTTAATAATTGGCTCAATTGATCGTGGCTGGAAATCTCTAACGCTTTAATATTTTCAACTTCCTTTAAGCTTGATATAACCTTTTCCAAAATTTTTAATTGGTTTTATCCATTCCCGACCTAACAGTGGGCTTCGATCGTAATGAACTACGTACATATTTAACTCGCGCACGCCTTCTATGTCATGCACTCTAACTTTGACAAACCCTAAGGGTGCAAAATTCCGTTTACAATATGAGCGCAATCGCAATTGTGTTCGATTCAACGCTAATCGCGGAAATACACGCTGTAACCATTTTTCGCTTACCAAGGTGACTGCCGCTCCGCAATCCACCTCGAACGTGACCTTCTGCCCTTCCAAAGAGAGAGAGACCGTAAATTTATCCCGGAACTGCGAATGTTCCATTCTTTCTAGTCTAAAGACTTCTTCTAAAAGTTGAGTTTGGCCCTTTTTTTTACAAACTTTCTGCAAATGTCCAAACCCACCGCACTCGTGACATTTAACGTGTCGAGGAAGGGTACACTTAGGCGCCAGATGATTTTGTCCACACCTGAAACAAGTAATGTCGTTATTATTGGAATTTCGCGACAGCTTTGTTTTGGACTTATTATTATTATACATTCCGTTAGACTTTTTCACATATTTATTGTTTTTCAGCTGGCTCCTTGGTTTGACCTCCTTGTCCGTCCTCTTCCTCGATGTTTTGGAACCCGCTCCGACGAAATCTACCGTAGCTGCTGCTTCCGCCTTTAATTCGCTCACACCTTTTTCCGCTAACTCCATTGCAGTGGCGGTTTTCAGGGCTGACTCCATCGTCAAGTTAGCTGTTTCCAATAAGCGTCCTTGAATTCGTTGGTTCCGCAGTCCAAATACAAACTGGTTCCTGAGTTCCGTCTTTAAGTATTCTCCAAACTTACAATACAAAGACAGTTTTTGTAACGCTGCCATGTATTCTTGAACGCCTTCCTCCGACTGTTGCAATCGCTTTCGAAAAACAAATATCTCCGCTATCTCCAGCGGTTCCGGGGCGTAATACTCTTTTAATTTATTTAATATTACATCATACGCCATTTGATACGGGTCTTCTGGATCCAATCGATCGCACAGGATTCCGAAAGCTTCCACTCCGATGAAATGCAGGAGATAGGCGACC